ACCATCGATTCGGATTCATCTCATTTGAAATTGAAGCTTTCATGTATTTTCCATAGCTTTCAACATTGATTTCCATTATTATTGTTGCTGTTATTTGTATTATAGTACTGAAATTATTTCGTTTGGAATTTCCTTACAGAATGGGTATTCTTAATTTGAAATCTTTGCAATGGAAAGATGCATCAGATGCGCTCGATGATGTGCGCTATGCAGATCAAACCACGCAATTCGCCAGTGATACCGGACAAATTGTATCGATGATTTTTCAGGTTCCGTCATTTAGGTTTTCAGCGAACCATCCGACAATACCTCATCTCCCACTTGCTTTTCACACCGGAATGCCGGTTCATCTAAACTGAGTATTCAGGAAAATGGTCGGAAACGTTTTGACAAGCGGAAATCTCGGATAATTTCACTAGTTCTAAAACAGAATCTGAGAAAAATCTGGAATCAGTAGAACGGAAGGTGGGAGAGGGTGATTGAAGGTGATCTGGCATAATTTCTGGTTCAGCTTGCATAATGTTCGTTTCAGATGTGGTCTGATGACGATTCGGAATTATCCATTCGAATGCTCAATTCTCCATTCGTAATGCCATCATTGTATTCACTCGCAGATTTTGAATTGCTTAGAAAGTATGACTCGCACAGAAATTTATCCGAAGCAAGAAGGAGATTCGTTAGACACTTGAATGGTCACACTAAAGTGTATGCTTAATCTCAATTGCTCAATTGTTCCATAATCTCATTTTGATCGCTCAACTATCAAAATGTTTCTGTCATCATAATGTCTGGAGCTCTTAGCATCTCACGTAACGTATGCAAGAAATTTGGTGAATTTTTTTGCTAACATAAGCTTCGGTGCAGTTCTAGATCACCAATGTAATTTGAATTCGAGAACTTAGTTTTCACAACTTTCCAGCCCTATCTTTCAGGTATTAAGAAAATTCCTCGTTTTCATTTCAAAATCTAGGAAAATCCGGCTATCCGGCTACACTTCAGAGCTTTTCTATGATCAAATATTAATCTTGTTAAAGCTTAGTTTTAGTGGCAGTCATTGATAATTATTAATATTTATTCTAAAACATTAAATACTCGATGTAACTAACTGAAATTTTATTGCAGAACATGAATGCAAGAGAAGCAGTGTGAATACTCATTACATATTATTGGTCACGCAGCAATTATATCGTCGGCATTAATCGTGAATGAATTAAACTCGACTGCATTCAATCCGAATCAAGCCTATTGCGTTTTAAAAACCTCGTCAGCAGTACACACCTTCACGTAGCTTTGTTCCACTGAACGAGTTCCATTCTTATTTGTTGCGACCGCTTTATAGATGCCTTGATCTTGTAGAGTTGGATTCTGAAAGATATAATTTGATAAATGAATATCATAAATCCATGAAAATCAGAAAGATAACGGATGAATAAACGCATAAATATAATCTTATCATAAAAGTAAACGTTAAATCGATTGAAAGCTCATTAATTACACACATGATCAAACGTATTTCTACTGATCGATAGTAGATAAATAATTTGACACATGTGATGAGGACATTCATTATTCACTATTGTTGAGGATTAATGAGTATTGATCACATCAATAGGATAAGAAAGAGCATTCATTAAGATAGAGATTAACGATGCAATTTGAAACGATAGCAATGATTGTTGCAATAACGAATATTAAGATGTTTGCAAATACATTGATTGATTAATAGATTATGGTGAATTGTTGGATGAGAAGTTTGAATTTAAGAACAGTTCACAGTTATTTGAATTTAAGAGTAATATTAAGACATGTACAGGCAGATGAACTCTGTACCAGAATGTAATGATTCAATCTCAAATGCAATAGGCGTATTTTGCGTCTAATGATTATTGAAATGTACTGAATAAATACAAAAATGCATTATGACTGGTATGTAATTAAAATCTCTAATGTTGCTTTTCAAACAAATCAGTTAATTCAATCTGCAGACCGACCGTTCGTTAGTTCCTCTTCGAAAGAATTATCTGTGAGAAAACTTGTTTAATATTGTGACCGGTCACACTCAGTCGAACGATTGCGTGTATCGTTGAATCGACGATAAATTCTTTTCATGATTTTGCACAGTTCAATGGATTGCGTTTATACATTGCTTGTTTCAAGCAGTGCTCTGATTAGTTGCTTTCAAAATCCAGTTGGATGTTTGTTCTGAGATGATATTCGAAAGAAATTTCCCTGATTGTGCGGAATTCCGAGATTTTCGCTAGGTTTTCATCATCTAAGAGATAATTTTGAGATAAGAATCTCGTTTCCGGCAAATGTTCAATCTCCCTGAGGTCTTTTGATGGTTTCATAGGTATTGCAGTATAACCATATGGTCAGTGTGTTATTTTACAAATTTCAGGTTAAATGATCTTTTGAATTTGATTTATGATCGACGTGAATATTATCATTATTGCTTCCATGATATTATTATTGCTTTAATTGCTGTTTCTATTACCATTGCAATGTTTTTAAAATTATCTGGTCTGCATTGTTTTCAGAGATGGAATCATTTCCTTACCTTCATTATCATTGTACATGCGTATTTTCCAACCATTTTTTTCACTTTGAATATGTAACGATCTCCAGTAAGTTCGGCGTCCTGAAATGAAAACCTGACAATTTCAATCCCAAAGACGATTTCAATCGTTCAGTGTAAACGATAAAATGTTTTGTCTCCGAGAAACGATTTGCAAAAGTTTGCGAAAATTTTCCTGAAAAATATGTTTTTCAAGACTTCAGAAAGAAAGTTTCACCTTGAAATACCATTTAACAGTAGGTTCTGGATTTGCGTTGCACATGCACTCGAACAGAACTGATCCATCTGGTTTATTGATTATGCTTGGGGCATTATCAAAGAACGGTGCTAAACTCATGCTGAAATTCGGAAGTCCTGAAAACAACCCATATATATTCGTTAAATTTCTCATATTTTATTTCTAAGAACCTCGATTGTCATTCGATGTAGACTGTTGGCAGATTTTCGTGGAGTGTTTTCTAAAATTGTTCTTTTGAGAACGAAACGCATTTTCCGGAAATGAGCGATTTCATTGTTCCTTCTCTATCTAAAAGTGCTCTTATACAGTCATTTGTGATGAATTATAGAAACTCCTTGCTAAAATGTCTTATTGTTAATTAATCATCAAAAGACCAAAATTTTCCTTCTTATTCTGTTCTCTGTTCTCTGATCATTGTATAGATTTGATCACGAAAGTGCAAATCTCAATTTGTTTCTGAGCAAACCCAGAGAGCGATTTTCATAACATGGCGATTTCAGTGTGATCATCAATGTGATTTGCTGCTAGAAATCTCGATATTGCAAATATCATTTACTTATCAATTTCCAGTAGAATCAGTCGATTTTATCCGATACTTTATTCGAAACGCCGATATAAATATTTTATAGCAAGATTCGGAAAAAATTACAAATTTTATTTGTTTAATGTGCAAATAATATAAACTCATGAAAGGGATACCGCTAACAACATCAGGGAACACTTAAGAGTAAAACGATAGAAACGAAACAAAAGCAAATGCGAAATTATTGAGTAGTGCGAGATACAAGCGAGTTTATTTATCTTATCGCTGACTGTGAGTGGAAATTCGCGAATACTCTCAATCAAGTGCAATAAACTATGAAAACGCTCGATTGAATAAACAAAACTAAGTGAGATTCAAGTTCTATATGTATTCGAAATCAAGTGAATAATCATATTGTTGAATAATCAAGTGAATAATCAAAAACTGTTTGGGTTAGATTATCAACAATATAATGGCGGAAGGTATCCTGAGAAACTGGAGTGTTGAACTGGAATTCGTAACATTACCATTTTCATTATTTACTCATTCATTCCAAAATGTAGTGAGCATAAACTATCAAAAGGCAACGGAAGAAATTATCGCCTAGAAAACAGTAAAACCATTCGAATAGTTACATTTTGACCTGAATATTCTCAAAGGAAAATTAGTGTTTATAAATTCTCTATGTACATATCTCATTTCACTAATTAATGAAGCAACATTCTCGAGGATATTGCTGAATTTCGACGATTTCACAAGCAGAACACAAATTCAGATAGAAATCTGATAGAATGGTCTAGTGATCAAGGCAGCGATCAAAATTGTTATTGATCAAAATAAGTGGGACCGAAGAGTGAGCTTATCGAGACGGTTTTTAAGCAGTAATATCTCATAGTCAGTTTCTCCGCCTTTCTCACATCCGCTTAGCAGCTGTTAATCAACTGCTCAACTTCTCGAATCCATTGTATGTTTCGGAACGAAAATTGTCTCCCTTTTCAAGATCTGATCTGGTTTACAGCAGAACTGAATAATGTATGAGGACTAGACATAAAATAGAGTATTGATAACAGAAATAAGTGATATGGAAAGGAGAATCACTGACGAAAAGATAGATGACAGTAAGATGATAGATGAGCTTAAGCGATGAAGTTGCAGTAATGGCTAAGATTGATTGATGAAGCTTACAAGCGGAACGTTAAACCTCAGAACAACAACAATAACAACAACAAAATGCAGTTGAATAAATAAATAAAGTGAATAATAAAATGAAAACAATTTCTTATCCGTTCCGATTTAATGCATTCATT